CCTGTGCTCAAGTGGGAGACCAGAAGAAGCTGCTGGCTCCTGGCTTCTGGCTCAGCTTCTGCTGTTATAGCCATTTGAGGGGTGAACCTGCAGGTGCAAGATTCTCTCTCTCTTCTTTTCTCCATATGTCTAGTAAATAAATATTTAAAGAAACAAACAATGTTAAGTGAAATAAGCCAGGCACAGGAAGACACTTGTATGTGACGTCTGAAGCAGTGGATGTTGCAGGAGCAGAGTGGTGTTTGCCACGCTGGAGTAGGGAAGTGGGGGAAGGGAGAGGCAGAGAGTGCTAAGTATGTTAATTTTATTTGATCATTCTTTTCTAATTTTGTGAAAAATAATTGTAAAAGTTCAACTTTCCAGGGCTGGTGCTGTGGCACAATAGTTTGAGTTGCCTTGTGCAATACAGGTGTCATGTATGGGCACTGTTTTGTGTCTCTGCTGCTTGGCTCTGACCTAGCTCCCTGCTAATGTGCTGTGAAGGCATGGATGATGGCTCAAGTGCTGGGCCCTGACTGCGGTGGTGGGGTGCTGGCAGAAGTACCTGGTCTGATTGTGGCCACTTGCGGAATGAGCCAACAGATGAAGACCTCTCCCTGCCCGCTGTTTGTAATTTTGCCTTTCAGGTAAGTAAATCTTTAAGGAAAAAAAAAAAAGTAAAGGAGGCAAGGAATTAAATGTTGACAGTTTGGTGTCTTTTTTTTTTTTTAAGAGTTGACAAGGATAGGTATCAATAGCAAAAAATTATTTTACTTGGAGGTAATAAGAATTGGAAGAGTGATTCAGTAAGTAGGTCCCACTGTGCTGTGGATTTGTGGGGCACTGAAGCTGTGAGTGTCTCACAGAAAGGAATGTTTTTCCAGGCACCATCAGCGCTTGATCCGGGAGTCCTAACAGGAATATTCTAAATGGAAACATCTTCCATGTCCTGTTGGAGGCAGCAGAGCATCAGGCTTCAGTACCTTGGTGTCAGGCAGATCTAAGGCCCATCCCGTTGCTGCCTTCCGATAGTCACACATCCTCAGGAGCCAGGAGTCTCAAGCCTCATCATCTCCTACGTGGCGAGCAGGGCCCAGGTGCTTGGGATATATTCTAATGCCTCTCCCAGGCCATTCTCAAGAAAGCTGTGTCATAACAGTGAGGACATGAACTGGCTCCCAAGCAGAATTGCAGCATTACAGGTGGTGGCTTTACCCACTTCTCCACAGCGCCAGCCCCTGTATTCCAATACAGTTTAAACACAAAGATACATTACATTAGAGAACTGAAAGAAATGTATAGTAAGCTTAAAGGGCTGATTTGGAAACAGAGCAAGAGTAACTTTTTTAGTACCTACCCTAATGTTACAGTGGATCATCACAATATATGTCATAGATACGGAACAAGAAATCGTGTCCTTTTCCCTCCTGGTTTGGGAGTTGGTGTGTGATATCTGCTCTCTTGTCAGTATGGTTTTCCAAGTGGCTTTATCTTTATTGTTGTGTAATTCCAACTTAATAATTCTTGATTGCCAGTTGGTTTTCAACTGAGCCCTTTGGAGAGCTTTATTACATTAGTAGTCCATTATTAAAATTGTGTAGGCTTCTGGTTTCTTTTACCATGTAGTGGTGGTACTGTCACACTAAGCAGTGTGGTTTTTGCTGTCCTTTCATTTCTGGTATTCACTGTTTTCTGTTGCTGCAATAAAAATTGGCTTTAAGGTAAATGATACTACAGTTAAACATAGGTATAACAACAATTCTTTATGCTGTGAATAAAGCATGCATTTTTATTGATTAAACAAGGACTGTTGTGTGAGCCCTGTCTAGCATACTAGTTGGGAGTAAATTTGTAGATTTGATAATGTGCCTTTCTGAGAGAGTTCTTCACCCTGTCCTTTCATGTTGCTTTCTGTATCATCTTGTGTTTTCTAGCTTATTCCCCTTTTTTTCCCTTTTATATAAATCCTTTGAGTTGGTGCTGTTTCTCCTGCATACAAATTCTTACCTAACAAGTGCTCTTAACAATTTTTAGGTTTCTTGGAAATCACCAACATGGGCGAGACACGGAGAGTCTTGACTTTTGATCTTAGAGCCAGTTGCCAGGGTAAAGTCATGAAAAGGACAGGAATTCTAGATTTCCTTTCTTGCCCCTTGTAGAGCAGTCTTCCCGCCCTTGCTTGGAAAGGCTCCCAAGTTGCTCTTAACTCTTGCTCCTGAACTCACCGGATTCCGCCGTCTAATATCTGGAAAGACCTCTCAGTGGTTTTTTCCTAATTGTGTTTCCCCTTCTCCTTTACATTAGCAGCCTATTTTCTTGGTGTTTTCTTCTTTTAATCTGTAAGAATTTCAGAAGAAAGTAATCTAATTAGACTAAATCATACAAAATCCCTTCCTTAGTTATCACTTTGAATGTTTGCATTTTCAAAAGAAAAACTTGTCCAAATGAACTTCCAAGTGACAGATTTTCAAATTCCATGACAGTAATTGGAATTGGACAAGTTTTTTATTGATTGCTTAAATCTTGACTCTCAAGATCAGCTCCCTACAGTTTTTATATTTTTGTTCTTATCTTCCTGCTACTTCTGAGAGTTTTTCCGAAGTGTTGGTGAGTGCTGTGTGAGGATTTGGAGCCGGGAGAGAGGTGGGTGGTAATGTTTGGGGTTATGTTTGTACGTTTCCCACTGAATTCTCACTAAACCCTATTCTGACCTGGATAGTCTTCTGGGTTAGAAGTGAGACTCCAATACAAATCTCATTGTCTCCCTATCATCCAAGATAGAAGTTTAAGGAACTGTTAAGTAGGAGTAAATAAAGAAACTGGGCATATTACACTAAGTGTGCTAACTCATAAAATTAAGGAAATAGTCTAGTTTTTTGCCTTTTTGGCTTTTGATTTTTTTTTTTTTTTTTTTTGGCAAGAGAAGCATAAACCATTCAAATAGAGAATTGCCTTGCACTACTCTGTGAAAATGAACACTGGGAGGCAAATTACAGTTGAAATTATTTAAAAATATCACCAACTTCAAAGTAAAATATTACTTCCTTCATTCTATCTGAAACGAATTTCACCCCAAAGATAGATAATATATAACCATTCTGGTCTCCTTAATCTATATGTACATATTCAAGGAAATATATTAATTAATTCAGTGTAATAGTCATTTTCATGTGTGAGGGGACATATTATGACGTTAATAGAATCTTACCTAGTAAAGTAGTAGCCTGTCTTTTGTGCTCTTAACCTACATGCTTCCCATGCCTAATCAGTGCTCAGGTGAGTTTTGTAGTTCACAAGATATTTTTAGTAAAACATGGAATCCTGTCGAAGATGTGGTATTTGTTTAAAATAAGTCTTAATGTACACATCCCGTGTACTTCAGAATATTCTGAAAACAACTTAAGTAATCAAAGACATTGTGTTCCTCTGACTCCTAGCTCCTCTGTGTTATAAAGTGGATAACGCAAGTGAGCAGGCCGGATCAGTAAGCCCTTAACCCTGAGCTGGTACTCAGGGTCACCTGTAGAAGGGTTAGCTGTCCCTGGAAGGCCTGTCATTCTGTGACTCAGACACTGGGGCACAGTAGAGTTACAGATTGGCACAGTGCCAAAGCTGGCGTCAGGACCCTGGCCAGGCCTTGTGTAGAAAGCATTTCCTCTGTGTGTGTGTGTGGCTAAATAGAGGGATTACGTCCTGTGTCTTGTTAATGAGAAGGTAAGAAGCAATTAAATAGAAAATGCTTCTCTGTTTAGTTTTTGTGTGATCTTCAGTTTTGTCAAAAGCTATTCTTCTAGGCATAATAGAAACTTCCAGTTTAAAATGGAATTGAAGATCATCCTCTCTTGAACAGGAGCTCAGAAACTCAAAAGTTGGCAACATAGCAGGGTGAGGTCTATCTGAGACCCTTCAGTTTTTATTATTGCTGTTGTCTTTCACATCATAGGAATCATTGGGATTTAAAAATTTTATAATTACTATTTTAAAATACTCTAATCACCTGAGTGCTTAATACCACTTTATGTCATTAGATATGCTATTAATTGCTTACTATGAAACAAGGAGAATGAACGCACCCTGCAGCAGGGGGCGTTTTATTTTTCTATTCATCTGAAGAATGAAGTTTTTAATGCATTTATTTTAAGGTATAACGATTGTTAAATTTGAGAAGACACGTATTCATACATTTCCTTGAAGACCTCATCAATTCCTAGTAATTCCTAGATGCATTTTGTTTTTACACAACAGGTTTTAACCACATAAATTGTCTGTAGGTTTACTGCAGTGTTCTCGCTCATCCAGTTATATCAGCCTTCTCTAACGAAAACTTGTAATTAAAGAGTGTTTTAGTCTTTAATCCTAAAGTGCCGAATGCCACTTTTTATTCTGAGATACTTGTCTGTGAGGATTATAGATATTAACAGGTCATGCTCTTTGTTTATTTTAAAAAAAAAGCAACTCCCTTCCCTGCATCTCATTCACTCTGGAAGAGTCTACCCAATGGAATGCAACATAAGACACGCTCAGGTAGCCCTGTTCCGTGGAATATTGGACACTAAGACAGTAGGTTCCAGCGATCACTTTTTTGTAACATGAAATAGAATTTTTGAAACTCCTCTTATCTTTCCCCCCACTTTTTCTTCTCTGCAAAAAGAATCTTACAGCTAGCTCTCCAGAATTGTAGAAAACAACCTTTTCTTTCCTTTAATGGGAGGGGTGGTTTAGGTATTGTCAGGTGGTGAAGCATTGATGTAACCAATTTTATACAAATTATGTTCTAGCTGGAAAACTAAGGGACATTCTTTAGCAAGCCATGACAGTGTTCTGCCTTAACTTAAAATAAAGATTGTCCAAGTGACAGTGTATCTCTGCTGAATGGATTTTCTTACACCATCTGGTTGCCATTGTGGCTTTCTTTTCTTTTCTTTTTTTTTTTTTTTTGGTTGTTGCTTTCATTTGAAATGTGCTGATGATCTTGTTTTTATTCCATAGCATTGAACAGATGGGTTGATTATTCTTTTCAGATATTAATAAGGCAGCGGAAGGAAGAAATATGAATACGGCTCCATCAAGACCCAGCCCCACACGAAGGTAAAGTACCCCGAAGCAGTGAGTTACCTTGGGAAAGTTGGGCTCTGGGGAGTTAAGCCCAACTTCATACATCAAGGGTCTTTTCTCGCCCCCCAACAAGTCACAACCGCTCAAGCAAACAATAAGAACATGAACCTTATGTGGAGGGCCTTGCTGCTTTTCTAAAACACACGTGAGGAGATGCAGAGGAAGCTTTGTGCTCTCGGTGGCAAACCCAGCAAGTTCAGCCTGTAACGTGTGTTGCAGGCCACTGAAGAGGATGAACCTCTGTGTGTCCCCAGCTCACGTGTCACTGGGAGGAGAGCCCTGGGTTGGGGCGGCCGCAGAGATTCGACTCTTCCTTCCAAATGGCTGCCAGTCCAGATGCTGACCCGGGGCTGCGGAAATTGCTGCTGACCGATTGCTGCTCTGCCTGTGCCGCAGATCCTGTGTTGGCTCGCATGCTTGGGGTTACCTGGTTGGAGGGGAAATAAAAAGGGCAAAAATACCACATTGCTCACAAGTCTCCCTTTTTCTCAGCTTTTCTGGAAATAGAGGGCATTTTCCCAAAATATTCTTCTGTTTGTTCTAAGAAGACAGTCCTGACATGCACCTGTTACAGATGCACATTAGATTGTTCCTTCTCTAAAGGAAGAATGTTGTTTAATGTTTTCATTCCCACTAAAAATGAGTATTTGTGTCAAACTTGCTGGCCCTGGATCAGCATGGATTTTTCTTTGTCCTTACGTTAAAATGTCAATTTTCCACCAAAACTACATACCACACTAAGCTACATTTCCTACGGTGAATTGAACATTGGTCAACACGGTGGGTCCCGATCTGTAGTGGTGTCTCCCAGGTCGCTTGGGGACTGAGCGCTTAGATGGAACACAGAATTGCCGTGCTTTTGGACGAGACTGTGTTCGATGTAACTCTTGTGTTTGAACATGAAGGGAGGCTGTGTTCCAACGACCAGACATAGATTATACATTTCTGCATGTTCAGATAGACGCTAGGGATGTGGCAGTGCTGCTGATCTTGTTGAATTTTTTGTTCATTGTACCTGTGCAGAGCTACACCACAGGTATCACATGGATGCCCTAGGAGTCATTAGCCTCACTGCAGAAGTACTGTCTCAGTATCGTAGAAAGTGTTTCGTGAAACCGCCAGATAAACAGTGTGTTGGTTGGTTTGTGTGTATTTTGAATATCTTCAAGAACATAAATGTGTCCTCCAGAACTTCAGTTCCATCTGATGTCCATCTCCATCAGCCAAATCTAACCATGTTCCACATGTTGGGGACCCCATCCATACTGCTCACATAGCCCCAGTAGTCATGGGATACACGTGGCTAAGAGGTTCCTGTAAGGGGTGTGTAAAGATTTCTTTGACAGGCAGAAGTACAGAGAGAGGGAGATGTATATACAGAGATAGGCCTTCTAGCTGACTATTCACTCTCCAGGTGGCTGCACTGGCCAGGACTGGGCCAAGGATGAAATCAAGAGATGCTTTCAGGTCTCCAGGAGCTGAATTGGAAATGGAACCCCTGGGACATAAACTGGTGCCCATATGGGTTGCTGTTGTTGCCAGTAGCAGCTTAAAATGCTGTGCCACAACACTGGCGCCTAATGATTGTGTTTCTGAACTATGTGGTTTACTAAAAGAAGTGTGGAACTTAGAGCTTTAAAAACACAGACTCCAACTGAACAACTTCTCTGTTGTTCTCCTAGTGCTCAAGAACTCCGAATAGTACTGTGCATTTCTGAAGGAGAAAAAGGAATGGTATCATGGACCCAGTGCCATAGCCCAAGGGCTAAAGGCCTTGCCTTGCGTGTGCCAGGATCCCATATTGGTGCCAGTTTGTGTTCCAGTGCCCCACTTCCCATCCACTTCCTTGCTTGTGCTCTGGGAAAGAGTCAAGGACAGCCCAAAGCAAAGAAAGAAAGAGTATGTTGTAGGGTGGTAAAGTTCCTCTTAGTGTCATGGACTGGGAAGGATATCTTCTACCATTCCGTTAATATTTGACTGTTTGCTTTTGACTTTCATGGTTAATCATTAAGTACATTGCAATGTTAGGGGAGCAACTAACGTACCCTGTTCGGAATCAAATATAGTTGTTACAGGGGCACTAAATGAACAGATTAATTTCATCCCAACCTAAATTGTAGCTCCTTAATGTTATTTGCAGAGAAAGAAAGAGCTTTTTGTGCTTTTTTCTTTTTTTTTTAATAGCCCCTCTCCAACGTAATACACAAACAGCATTGAAACATCTTTTAAATGAAGCTCAGGGAGCAGGTTGTGGCATAGCTGGTTAAACCTATAATTGGCATGCCCATATCCCAAATCAGTGCCAGGTTAAGTCCTGGCTACTCCACTTTTGATTCAGCTTCCTGCTTCTATGTCCTGTTGCTACATGTGATGGTTGAAGTGTTTGGGCCCCGTGTCTCCCACATAGATGGGCTCCTGGCTTTGACCTGGCCCGGCCCTGGCTGTTGAAAGTATTTGGGAAGCAAATCAGCAGATGGAAAATCTCTTTTCTCTCTGTTGCTATGCCTTTGAAGTAGATGAAAATAAACATTGAAACACGCTCTTTACTAAGTATAAATGTGTCCTTTATATGCCTGTTAAAATACTACTTTCAAAAATCCCAAAATGAGATTATTATTGCAATGTGGCTAGAACAGTGGCTTCCTGCTTTATTTACAATCAACGGGAGAGACGGCTAAGCTAATTCAGGTTCTTTTGACAGTCCCCCCCCCCTTGATGATACGTCTTTAACATGTTATTTTGTGTGATGAAGTTCCAAACAGTCAGTGCATGTTTATTTAAGGAATGAACTGTGGTCACATTTAGTAGAATCTGTTCTGAAACCCATCTAAGAGTCTTAGCGAGGAAAGGGGGGAGAAAAGCCAAATAAATTGAATTTTATATTCAAACAGAGCACTTAATTTTGATTGTTGCTTCATCATGCATTCTCACAAGATATGCCAGTAGGATAGAAGTAGTATCCAAGAGAATATACAAGATGATGAGTAATTAGCCTGGAAAGAGCCCATCATTTCTCTGGGGGTAAATACCAGGCTTCCAGGCAGAGCCTCAAGGTGATTCCAAATGTGCTGTCCTGTTGGTTGCAACCAAACTGCTGTTGGCAGGCCTAATCATTTCATGTGTCACTGCCACAGGGAACCATAATTCACAGGGGAAGGAACAAATACATCTATGGCATAAATTTCCTTAAGTTATACCCATGTGTCTCCAGTGTTGTCTGCTTTTTAAAAGAAAATTGTCTATGTTGGCAAGACCTTTGTAACACCTCTTGCTGGACACTAACCTAGGGTATCAAAACCTAGTATATTTGAGAATTTTCACAGGAGTGTCATTTCCAGCATCTCTTTAAGCAACAGACCTGCTGGCTTTGCTTTTGGTCTGGTGATGGCTCAGCTGCCTGTGTGTGATTCTGACCTGCTCAGCAAGGCCCCAGCCTCTGCCTTAGGAATCCCTACTCTGAACTGCACTTCAGCTTGAATTCTTATTCTAACCCTTCAATTGATTCACCAGATTCCTTTGGAGAGCATCGCACAGTTGTCTGGCATGATCCCAGACCTTAGTCCTTCAAAGTCTGGACCGTAATTCTGGTTGGAGCTGGGTGTTCTCAGCATCGTCAGCCCATCCCTTGGTGAACCCAGGTTTTGGAGCACACCCCTGCACTGACTTGAGTCCCAGGGATCCAAAATAAGGTATTTGCTAAACCTTCCCGTGTGACCTAAAGAAGAACAAATAGTGCAGACGATTTTCCCTATGTGTTTGTGAAAGAAGTGAAGCCTGATACTACTTTGACAGAAATCATGGAGAAAGACTCAGGAGAAAGCTCTTGGCTGTAGGCGAATTTCCTATATGACCTGAAATGCTTTCCATTTATCCAGAGAGTGTTAATTTCTTTGAAAATTGTTTGCTTCTCAAGTGTGAAATAACTGTAGGTCTAGGTGGACCCCACACTTAAGAAGATTCCACACTGCGGTTTCTTCTACATCAACACTTGAAGAAAAGTTGTCAGCAAGTGCCACCTGTACCAACAAAATCCTGAGGATGAAGCCTGGCCCAGGAGGTGTGCCATCTCATTGCACCCCATAGCCTATCTGCGCCTCATGGTGAAAGTCTGCCCAAGTCTGTTATCTCTACTAGCAGCATGGCACCATTGTCCTGGGGATCAATATCACACAGCAGACAGCGTATTTAAATTGTGGGTAAATATTGCAAGTGGAGAATATCTGTGACAGAACTGATGAAGAATTTTTCTTGGGGTCAAAAACAGACTGACCCTTCCCAATGAAAATGCTCCAGGGAATGGAACGGAAAAAAAAAGGAGAAAGGCTGTCTTCTGCAGAGAAGAAAGAAAATGTCAAGGGTGCTGCCCCCACCTGCTGCACGGCCAAGTCCAGAGTGCCGTCCGTCCTGGAGCGGAGGTCTCCAGTTCCTGATGAAAAGAAGCTTGGAGTCCACCAAGACTTAAGATCTCAAGTGCCGCGTGTTGTCCAGTCACCTCAGTCCGCAGGAGAGGTGCATCACCTCCGTCCGGGCCGCTGTCTGCTTCCCCCGCCCTTCCCATGCCCCCTCCAGTGTTGCCCAGTGATTATGAACATAATGCCTTGCTTCTCTCCTGCCAAGCTGATAAGGAATTTGCAGCAGAATTCTAATTGTGTTTGCCACCTGCTTAAGTTCGTGGCCTCCAGTACTGAAATTTAACTTCTATCTGATTTCGTTTTCAGCTTCTTATGACGTGGTACCGAGAGTGCTGCATTTGACTTCCTTTAGTAAGACAACTCTGGTGCCTTGGGATGGTGCTGTGAACCACATATGCGCAGGAAGCCTACCTCACTCATCCTTTGAGGTCAAGCTTCTCCTGCTGGAGGCTTTGTCCTCTCTGCACTCCAGATACAGCCACTGTACAACTCTCTTGTTAGCTGTGTTCTTGTTTTGAGAAAGATATTAGGACCAGCAACAGGAGCTGTTTCGTTCTGAGAAGTTCATTGTCTGGGTCCTGGAGTGACCCTAAATGGTTGGCTGCTTTTGAAGAACAGCTATCTGCCAGTGTTCATCTTTTAGAGAAAGAAGGTGGTTCTTTTGCCTTCTCATTTTGGAGAATTGTCTTCTATCCATACTTCTGTTGGTCCTTTGGTACTTTTCCTTCTTGTGAATATCACCTCTTCCACCTTTTTGCCCAGAAGGCAATTAAGGAGAAAGTTACTAGTTATATTGCTGATGAACTTCAGGTTCCTTGAGGAAATGGCAAGAGCTGCATGTCTCAGGTTGAGGTGGGGACCCAGACTTTGTGGATCTAGGGTTCTGGTCAACCCACAGGGGTAGACTGACAGGTAAGTAAGGTTTCCCAATAGATTGGAAAGAATTAGAGCCCCATAAAGTATTTTGCATTGTCCTGAGGCTGTATGAAGCATGATGTGACGTGATGTTCTTCACTGCATTCCTAACCCTACTGCTACCAGACCAAAGCTTTGTGTGGTCTGTGGTCGGGCAGGTTCATGATATTCCTACTGTGATTGCCAAGAGCACTTGAAACTTGATTCTACCTCTAATGACTGCTTCTGACTGCTCCCTGGGGCAAGTTTATCCACTGATCATTAGTGGTCCAAAAATACTCTGCCGTGTCCTTCTCCCTGGATCCTTAGTGTTTGTCCACATTCTGTACTACGTCAGATGTTACAGTGTTAGGAGGATTATATGGTAGAGCAGGGAAAGCTAAAATTATCTTGATTAGTCTATACTTCATTCTAATATGGAAACTAATGTTTAGCTGTCCTTATTTAAGTTCCCTGGTCTACTGTATGTTTGGTCTCATAACCAGGAGTATAGTGAACTTTAAAACGTATGACAGGGACTTTATAAAAAGCAGAGTTGATGTTTAAGTGGTTTTTGTCGTGTCCATGTGAACAAAGCGAAATGGAAGTGTTCTAGCAAACTGATAGCATCATAGTGAATGCCTACTGTAAATTCAAACCATTAAGTGTTACTGAGCTCAGTGCTATGTTGCAGTTACCCAAAGCCTTCAGGAAAACCTATGATTTGCTAGGGAAGCCATACGAACAGATACAGTCATACGTTGGTTAGCATCAAGGTATGTTCTGGAAGATGAATTGTTCAGTGAGCTCATTGTATGAACATTACAGAGTGTGCTTACACCATCTAAGCTGCAGCATGTCAAGGTGATAGAATCTTACGGTGCGGTGGCCATTAGGTGACGTGTGATTGTCGTTATGGAATGGAAGCATGTACAGGAGCACGATTCATCCAGCATCTTTGAAGAGCATCAGCTGTGTGTCAGACATTATTCTCGTGGGTTTACAGTGCAGTATCAAGCTGACATGGGCGTGGTCCACTGGAAGCTTGTGAGCTGGTAAGGCAGCTAGTTGTGAAGTAACCATGTCAGCCGAGTTCTGAGTGCAGGAACAGAAGGTGGGCTTGGACATTACACGAGGAGTGTTTGCGTGCTGACAGCTGGAGAATGAACACGGGTCTGTTCCTGCTGCTCAAGGGGTCGGGAAAGATGTCAGCTGGCGGTGGCTGAAAGGCCAGCACAGCTCGAGTAGAGACTTAGGGAGAGAACATAAGGAGATTGGCAGACAGGAGCCAGTCATGAGGACCCTGTTAGCCTTGGTTGAGAGTTTGAACTTAATCTCTGCGGAAACTAGTGAAGGCTTTTGCCTATTACCTGTTACCACTCTACAGAGTACTCTTTCTGAGGAAAGATTAGAAAAAGAGATAAGAGAGCCCGGTGTGGTAGCCTAGCGGCTAAAGTCCTCGCCTTGTGCGTGCCGGGATCCTATTCGGCCACCAATTCTAATCCCAACCGCCCTGCTTCCTATCCAGTTCCCTGCTTGTGTCTTGGGAAAGCAGTGAAGGACAGCCTAAAGCCTTGGGACCCTGCATCCATGTGGGAGATCTGAAAGAAGCTCTTGGTTCCTGGCTTCAGATTGGCTCAGCTCCAGCCGTTGTGGCTGCTTGGGGAGTGAATCATCGGATGGAAGATCTTCCTCTCTGTCTCTCCTCATCTCTATATATATGACTTTCCAATAAAAATAAATAAATCTTTAAAAAGAAAAGAAACAAGGACAGACATGGGAAGGTTACATTAGCAACCTCGGTTACTTCAGTGGTGCCAGTGGAAATAAAACTGAATGAACAGACAGCAGTTTTTAGAGAATGAAAATTTTCAGAAATATTGATTGACTGACAAGAGTAGGTAAGTCTTACAGGAAGGGTGATGAGCAGTTTGTGGGTTTCAGCAGACAAGTAAATGGGTGTGCCCTCTACTGAAGGGGCGGGGCTGGAGGAGGGATGTACTTGGAGCAGAGGCAGAGCCAAGGACAGGTTCACAGAGGAGGGGAATGTTAAATGTGGGTCAGGCATAGAAGACACTGGTGTGAAAGGTAAATACCAGGTCAGATTCAGTAATAGAGGTAATTGAGTGTGAGAGGAGAGAGCAGCAGTGAGACGTGGCCCGTGATCCTCCCCTGTGGATAGGGTGGTACTGGAGTTAGTCTTGGGTAAATGTTCCAAGTGGAGAAGCCATATAAGCAGAAATGCTGAGAGAGATGTGTGAGTTAAAATCCTGGGAACAGCGTCGGGAGAGCTGAGGCGACTGAATAGTTACAAGGGGTCAGTTTGTCAGGCAGGGGCTCCCAGACACAGGAGGGGCAAACCAAGATTGGTCACAGATGGAGTTTGACATATTTAGGCAGTTATTCTGACATTTATGTGTCAAAGTAAGTAGCACTGATTTTTTTTTTTTTTTAGCATTTTTGTTGGTACCAGCATATAAATAAGCTTCTGAGTTGGACCTGTATATCTAGTGGAATAGAAAGATAAGTAGTACTCGGCTGACTTCCTGGGGATAGAGTGGAAGAATCAAAGTGAACTTTGAAGAGGTTATACCCAGATAACTAGAAAGATAGTTATTTGCAGAAGTGAAAAAGTCAAGAATGGGCCTCGTGGGTCAGAATGGGAAGTTTCTAACTTGGGGTACTTTGGGGGTGAGTTTCCGGTGGAATGACTTGTCTCATGGAGTCTCGTTGAGTCAGAGCAAAGCGAAGCGTGTCTGTGACTTCAAAGAGCTTGTCGAAGACCTTGGGCTGAAAGGAACCAGGTTTGATTGGTTTTGATCCTAAGATATACGTATCATATTGTGCTTTTCCCCCTTAATTTGGTGATCCTGTCAGGTGCTTGAGGTGAAATCTGTGCCTCAAGGATAGTCCCTTTGATTCCTTTGTGTGAGATGATACCATTTGTTCTTTTTTCTTCATGAATGTCAGCCCTCATGCTGCCTCCCCATATTTTTTGCCCTTGTGATGTCTCTTTCCAACAAGTCTGGTAGGAGAAAGAACTTTTGCTTTGAAAACCTGTCATAATTGAGGACGACTTGGTATGTGTGAGGAATACCAAGTTACCTGAAGAATGCCATTACCCAGTCCAGCCCTCTTACACGTTCTGTTTTTCCTTTGATGTTCCAGTCCTTTGAGATTCTTGAACACGCTAGGCTTTATCTACTGACCAGATGGGTAGCCACTGACATTTTAGCCAGACTGTTTAGCTGCCTTGTTAGAAAGCTATTTGGAAGGTGTGAGCTTTTCCCTATGAGGAGCTGTAGTTCTGGCAGCCTCTGCTTTGCCTCAGCATCTTGTTGCTGTCATCTGCAGGGATCCGTATGGCTTTGGGGACAGTCGAGACACAAGGCGTGACCGATCTCCGCTTCGAGGAAGTCCGAGAAGAGAGCCCAGGGATGGCAGAAATGGCCGGGACACCCGGGACAGCAGAGACTTCCGGGACCATCGGGACAGCAGAGACCTCCGGGACCATCGGGACAGCCGGAGCATGCGGGACCTCAGAGACTTCCGGGATCTCAGAGACTCTAGAGATTTTCGAGATCACCGGGACCCACTGTACGACAGATACCGAGACCTGAGGGACTCCCGTGACCCTGTGTACAGGTGCGTTGGCAGCTGTTCCACTCTGCTCGCCTTTCCCGAGTGGCCTTTTCTCTGTGTGTTCTACTTAACTCACTGGCAGCTCCATAAGGTCAGTGGCTTTGTCAGCCTTGGATTCTCAGTGTCTTATCAAGTGGGAGGTGTGCCACTTGATGTATTGTGCTGAGTATGCGAGTGATTGATGCATTGTGCTTAGTGAATGAATCTGGGTCTCTCCTGGAGTGTGGCCTGTGAAAGGCAACATTGTGTGACTAAAGAAAGATGGAGTAAACTCAGGTTGGCAGTGCCAAAACCCAGGGAGCTAACCAAAGAACCCACAAATAGGAAAGGGTGCCCCTCACAGCCAGTCTTTAGGAGAATGCAATTGAGAGTCACAGGGCGGTACCCTCACAGTCACTGGCATGGCTGCAACGGGGCTTTTTGTTTGCTTTTGTTTAAACACGGAAGGGATGGGCATTTGGCACAGTGGTTTAGCAGCCACTTCGGAAACCCAGTTCTGTTTTAGAATGCCTGTTTCTGGAATCTTAGCTCTGACTCTAATGAACTCTTGTTGATGCACACCTTGGGAGGCATCGCATAACAGCTAAGGTAATTGTATCCCCACTGCCCCTGTGGAAGACCCAAACTGGATTTTTCTCCCCTGCCTTCAGGCTGGTCCAGCCCCAGTTGCACATATTTGGGTAGTAAACCAACAAATGGGAGATAATCTCTCTCGTTCTCCTCCTGCCTATCAAACAAGATTTGAAAAGAAGCATAGTGGCGTAGCTGGTAAAGCCACCTCCTGCCATGGCAGCATCCCCTGTGACTGCCGCCCCACTTCTGATCCAGCTCCTTGCTAACGCACCTGGGAAGGCATGAGGAAGAGGCCAACACGCTTAGACCTGGAAGAATCTCCAAGCTCCCGGCTTTGTCCTGGCCCAGCTGCAGCCGTGCTACCATTTGGGAAATGAGCCAGAGGGTAGAAAGTCTCTAACTGTAACTCTGCCTTTCAAATAAATAAATCTTTTTTTGAAAAATAACAGGAAATAACTAGTGTTAGCAGGGTATGGAGATACATGGCTGGCAAGCATATAAAATTTGTAAGTTCTATATAAAATAGTTTGGCATCTGTCAAATGTTGTTGTGTATAGGATTATTGTTTGCTCTCATCATGTGTACTTCCAAGTATGTGTCCAAGAGAATTGAAAAAGGGCTTCAAGTAGTTGTACTTGAACATGCCTGTCAGCACTGTTTGAAGTAGCCGAAAGGCAGGGGCAGTCCACATGTCCAGCAACAGGTGAGTGCACGAGAGAAGAGTCATGTACCCATTTAGTGCAGTATAACTCAGGCAGAAGGCAGGAGGAAGTTCTGATACAGTTAACACAGGCTGAACCTCGATAACCTGCTGAGTGAAGTAAGGTGAATACAAAAGATGTATGTTTCTTCTTGCATGAAATTTCTAGGTTAGGCAAATTCCTAAAGCCAGAAGGTAGATGAGAAGTGGCTAGGGAGGGGCCGGGGGAGTCGCTTTGTGAATGATTCCCGTTTGATGTTGGAAGTAGCTGATGGTGTTGATGATATAGCACCAACTTGTCGACCTCCAAGTGGTGATGTCTGTCTCACACCAGAGTAACTGGGTTCAGTGCCTGGCTCTGCCTCCCGACTCCAGCTACATCCCAGCGCAGGGCCAGGGAGGCAGTGATGATGTCAGCTGGAAGGACCTAGAATCGGCCTGGCCTGACCTCAGTCATTACAGGTGTTTGGGGAAGGATTGGGATCTGTCTCTTGGTCTTTTTCTGACTCTCTCAAAAAATGTATATATTTAAACATTTTTTATTTTATATTTATTTTTGCAGAACAGGTAATGGGGCAGACATTTGGCCTAGCATTAAAGATCTTCATTAAGATACCCACATCCCATCTCAGAGCACCTGAGTCAGTACCGTCATCTCCTAATTCCAGCTTCCTGCTGATAAGGCACAGCCTGCAGGGCAGCCGGTGAGGGCTCAGGTTCAGTCAGGCCTAGTCCATCATTGTGGGCATATCAGAGTGATCCAGTGGGTAGGAGTTCTCTCTGTTTCTCTGCCTCTCAAATAAAATGTTTTTGAGAGGGTAAGGTGGCAAATTACTATATACAAGATATTTTCTTTTTTTTTTTTTTAAAGATTTATTTTTATTATTGTTTCATTGGAAAGGCGGATATACAGAGAGGAGAGACAGAGAGGAAGATCTTCCGTCCGATGATTCACTCCCCAAGTGAGCGCAACGGGCCGATACTATGCCGATCTGAAGCCAGGAGCCTCTTCCGGGTCTCCCACGCGGGTGCAGGTTCCCAAAGCCTTGGGCCGTCCTCGACTGCTTTCCCAGGCCACAGGCAGGGAGCTGGAAGGGAAGCGGGGCTGCCGGGATTAGAACCGGCGCCCATATGGGATCCCGGGCGTGCAAGGCGAGGACCTTTAACCACTGCGCCACCGCGCCGGGCCCGTATACAAGATATTTTCAATAAGTTCATAGAAAATATATATTACAAGGGCCAGTGCTGTGGTATAATGGAGTTGAACTGATGGCTGCAGTGTTGGCATCTCATATGGGTGCTGGTTCGAGGCCTGGCTGCTCTACTTCCAGTTCAGCTCCCTGCTGATGTGCCTGGGGAAAGCAGGAAAAGATTGTCCAGGTCCTTAGGCCTCTGCACCTGCATGGGAGACCCAGAAGAAGCTTCTGGCTCCTGGCTTGGCCCAACCAAGCCCAGGCCATTGCAGTCATTTGGGGGGTGAACCAGCAGATCAAAAAAGATGTCTCTCTGTCTCTGACTGCCTTTCAGATAAACTTTTTTTAATTAAAGAAATTACAAATCAGTTTTTTTGTGTTTAATATACATCAATACATCAGTCTATGTGTAATACTTTCTGTATATCATTTATGTTCACCAGCCCTCTCTCGTACCGTCCCTCCGTTACCCTTCATTTTCTGGGACAGGTCAGCTCAGTCAGCCACAGAGCTCAGAAGCAGGGAGTCCCAGGTGCAAAACTGTTTGCTCCCAAACTCAGAGGGGATTGGTGTTGAAGATTTCTCTCTGACTTTCACAAGACGGAAGAATTTTTAACTTTGTACAAACCTTCTTAACGTTGCAGGAGAGAGGGCTCTTATGACCGGTATCTGCGAATGGACGACTATTACAGGAGGAAAGAGGACGCCTACTTTGACCGTTACAGGGACAGCTTTGACGGACGAGGCCCTCCAGGTCCAGACAGCCAGTCCCGTGCAAAAGGTAAGGCAGCAGAAATAGACATTCCTGTTACCGCAGGACCCTTCACCAAAGAAAGAGGAAATGAGGCAGGATTTGAGCCAATAGCAGGTGCCGGCGATATGGCTGGCTACTTCATGAGAAGAAGAAATAACAAGCTTGGGGCCCAGTGCGATAGCAGTGGAGAATGGCACAAAGCCTTGGGACTCTGCACCTGCATGGGAGACTCGGAGGAGGCCCCTAGCTCCTGGCATCGGATCAGCTCAGCTCTAGCCATTGCAGCCACTTGGAGAGTAAAATCAGCAGATGGAAGATCTTCCTGTTTCTCCTCTCTGTATATCTGACTTTCCAATAAAAATAAACCGTTTTTTTTTCTTTTTAAGATTTATTGGGCCCGGCGCGGTGGCGCAAGTGGTTAAGTCCTCGCCTTGCACGCCCGGGATCCCATATGGGCGCCGGTTCTAGTCCCGGCAGCCCCACTTCCCTTCCAGCTCCCTGCCTGTGGCCTGGGAAAGCAGTTGAGGACGGCCCAAGGCTTTGGGACACTGCGCCCGCGTGGGAGACCCGGAAGAGGCTCCTGGCTTCGGTCGGCATAGTATCGGCCCGTTGCGGCTCACTTGGGGAGTGAATCATCGGACGGAAGATCTTCCTCTCTGTCTCTCCTCTCTGTATATCCGCCTTTCCAATGAAAAAATAATAAAAATAAATCTTTAAAAAAAAAGATTTATTTATTTTTATTGCACAAAGTCAGATATGCAGAGGGAAGGAGAGACATACAGGAAGATCTTCTATCTGCTGATTCACTCCCCAAGTGGCCACAATGGCCAGTGCTGCACTGATCCAAAGCCAGGAGCCAGGAGCTCATCTGGGTCTCCCACGAGGGTGCAGGGTCCCAAAGCCTTGGGCTGTCCTCAACTGCCTTCCCAGGCGACAAGCAGGGAGCTGGTTGGGAAGTGGAGCCGCCGGGATTAGAACCGGTGACCGTATGGGATCCCAGCACATTCAAGGTGAGGACTTAAGCTGCTAAGCTGCCATGCCAGGCCCAAAATAAAATAAAGCTTTTAAAAAAGAAATAACAAGCTTGAAAATAATTTTTGAATGCAGATTGGTACTGTTGCCTGGTTTAGTTAGCCAGCAAGCAAAAGCCTGCAGCTGAGCCTTCCGCCCCTGACTAGATGACCGGCTGCAGTGTCAGGTTTAGGGGGCAGGTTTGTTGTTTACACTTTTTAGCTCTTTTTTTAAAATAAAGGCAAGCATGTTCTTAAAATCCTCTTTTTTTCTCACACATCTCTTAATGACCTTTAAGCTGTCTTCTATCTGGCCAGTGTGGTGTGTTTAAAAGTCTGTTTATGAATTTGTGTATTTGAGAGTCAGAGATGCGCACCTTTCTTTGGCCGATTCACTCCCCAGTGCCTGCCACTTTCAGGGACCACAGCAGGCCCACAGCCTGGAGCTGCTACCCAGTCTGTCTCCTGGGTGGGAAGCTGAGGCACAGGGTCCTGGACCACTACTGCTTCCTTCCTTCCACAGTCTGTTAGCAGACAGCTGGAACGAGGAGATGGACCCACAGGTGAGACCCAGTACACATCACAGCTGGTGTCCTGACTCCATGTGTCCCACAGTTTTTAATTTGTTAGAAAACTTAACTGCCTGATAGCTTTATTTCAAAATAATAAGATTGGGGTGGAGGTACGGAGGGGAGTGAAACCGCCATCTTTAGCACCAGCATCCCAGTGGGCGCTGGTTTGCGTCCCGTATAGGGACTGATTTGCCCGCCAGCTACTCTGCTTCCACTCCAGCTGCCCGCCACTGCATCTGGGAAAACAGCAGAAGCTGGTCCTAGTGCCTGAGCCTCTGCATCACACAGGTGACCCAGCAGAAGCTCCCGGCTTCCACCCGGTCCTGTGTAGGCTTTGGGGAATGAATTAGTACATGAAACATCTCTCTGTCTCTCCTTCTCTCTCTCTCTGTAATTTTGACGGTCATGTAAGTAAATAAATCTTTAAAAGATAAATCAGCAAAAATGCAAATTAGAATAATAATATCATTTTTATCTGTCAAGTTAGGAGAAATTAAAAGAACATCAATGTCCAATGATAAGCACCTGTCAGTGGTAGGCAACTTTTTTTCTGTCAAGAACCATTTGGCAATTTACAACATGATTCACGGACCACAGACAGTTACTAACTGAAACATCAGCCTGCTGTGGATGTGTTGAGTTTTGAGTCTCGCCTGCGGTTGCTGTGGCAGGGCCAGACCGAGTAAGTTCCCAGGCCTCGCAGCTGGATGTTCTCCACTCCTGTACTAGACGATCTGTGTCTGTGGAGATAAATAAATTAGTAGCAGCCTTCCAGGAGGCCGTTGGCAGGATGTATTACAGGAAGCACTGAGACCGCTCCACCCTCTCGCCCACCCATTCCATTTTGATGACTTTATCATTGTAAAAGAGTCGGCTCTAGTGATTGTTTCTAGGAGATAGATTTGAGAAGTGATGGCAGCATGTGTGTGATGCTCTGTGTTCACGTAGCTCAGGGCGCTTCGTCCTTCCTGCAGTTTTCCCTGTGCTGTCTTACAGAGCGACTGAAGCGGGAGGAGCGGCGGAGGGAAGAGCTGTATCGCCAGTATTTTGAAGAAATCCAGAGACGCTTTGATGCCGAGAGGCCTGTGGATTGCTCTGTGATTGTGGTCAACAAGCAGACAAAGTAAGACCTTAGATGATTCTCCCAAGCAGGGGAGACGGTCGGCTCCACCCACTGCCGCTAGCTGGGTGTTGTGGCCTTCCTGCGCTGGGTTAGCTGGAGATGTCTCAGTTGTAGGTGGCATAAAACCCAAGTGAAACTGACTGAAGCCCAAAAGGAACAATTTTAGTTTATTTAGCTGGAAAGTAACTGGGAAGCTCAGGAATGGTATATCCAGGGCCAAATTATGTCATTGGGAGTTGGTCACTGAGCACTGATTTCCTAAGTGTCGCCTGCATTCTCTGGCAGGTTTCCTACTTGAAAAGATAGATGGCGCTGACATTGAAAGAGAGCTTCTCTTCCCTTCTTTCACATAAAATCCTGGAATTGTTTCCCATTGAACTGGTCTGCCTCATTTTCCTACACCTGAGCCCAGTGTCTCTTTGGCCAGATGTTCTAGAATGTTCTGGATTGGCCAGAACTGTGTGGTTAGCTATCCCCAGAGCTAAAAGTAGGAATAGTCCTATAGAACCATCAGGATTGAGAGTGGGAAATAAAAAGGTAACAATAATTACACACAAAAGCAAAAAACAAACAAAAAAAAAACCAGAGTGGGAGAAGGACTAGATGTTGGTCAAAGGAAGTGGTGGATAATTAGCCTACTTCATGAGACAGCCCTGAATCCACAGTTCTATGGATGGAGACTTGCACGTGTGTCAGTCAAGAACAAAGCCTTCTTTGCAAAGCCCTGGCCTTGCAGAACTGTTAGTTGAGCACATTAGCCAAGCCAGAGGTCACAGCCCTGCTGTCCTCCACCTGTTTACACTCTGTCCTCAAAGAGGCAGAGCTGAGGAGCAGAGGGGACACCGCAGCTTGCTGGCTTTGCGCTGGCTGTGCTTCCTTTCCCCAGGGGCTTATAAGTCACTTCATGTGGTTCCTAGCAGTTTGGGGTTAAAGAGCTCCTTTCGAGACATTGACTAGGGAAATAGGTGTTGAGGCGCCAAGCAGCAGGCCGAGTTCACAGGATTGGAAGCAGATGCTGCTGTAACTGTAAATAGCATTTGGGATACATGATAATAGCTGTGATTCTCAGAGTACCTACTTTGCCCCTCCCCCGTGGCAGGCACATTACATTGACTGTTAACACTCACAGGCATCACAGTCCATGTGTATTCACTCGGCATGGCTTTGCCGGGCCCGGTAGAGGCTGGGTCCTAGGGCTGCAATCGGAACCTAGCACACTCCCCTCTGGTGCTGGAGCTTACCATCTAGTGGAGCCGCTGACAGCTGTGCATGTGTAGGTGGCAGTGCACGGGAGATCTGTGCTTGGAGGGCAAGTCATAGAGACATGAGCCATAGTGTTTTGTGTATGACTAGCAAGGAAATTTCATAAGGTTTCTAAGAGTTAAAGGACTCACTGAAGGCTCCATAACTTTGTGAGCAAATGTTTGGGCTAGAAATCCAACCTGTGTTTCCAGCATTAAAGCCTGTGTCTATACCACTAGGGCTGTATTCTGCAGCCCCAGTGACAGGTAAGTACCCCAAGGCCTGGGCACCACAGTGATGTTAAGGAAACACCATTGATACTTGACTGCTGTCAACTTCCTGTGTGACCTCAGCCAAGTCACAACCATTCTGAGCCAGTGGAAATGAAGGAAATGGTGTAGATCCTTGGAACCTAAAGAAAATCCGGGGGGAGCGGAGAGGAGGGTCAGTACAGCACGCTAATCCCCCACCCTATAGTGCCAGCATCCTAATTGGGCTGGTTCATCTGGCTGCTCTATTTCTGATCCCTGCGTATGTCCTGGGAGAGCAGCAGCAGAGGCCCAACGACTTGGTCCCTTGTACCCATGGGGGACACTAAGGCTCCCAGCATCGGATCAGCTCAGATCTAGCCACTGTGGCCATATGGGGAGTGAACCAGCAAGCAGATGGAAAACTTTCTTCTCTCTGTGTCTTCTCTCTAAAATCTGCCTTTCAAAAATAAATAAATAAAAAGCAGGACTTGAGTTCCCTGTGGGGAATACACCCAGGTAGCTGAGGTTTGAGGTTGGTCCCGGATGCGAATGTGAATTCTGGTTGCTGTTGTAGAGACTATGCTGAATCTGTGGGGCGGAAGGTGCGAGACCTCGGCATGGTGGTGGACTTGATATTCCTCAACACGGAGGTGTCACTGTCACAAGCCCTGGAGGATGTCAGCAGAGGAGGATCTCCTTTTGCTATTGTTATCACCCAGCAACACCAGATTCACCGCTCCTGTACAGTCAACATCATGTTTGGAACCCCACAAGGTGGGTCATAATGCCAGGGCTGGTCACGGACGCACTATGTCTGTGACACCTAACTCCTCAGAAGCAGGTCTGGGTCAGTGATTGATGCACCACAGCTCAGGATGGCAGGGTGCTCTCAGCTCAGAGTGGTGGGGTGCTTCTCAGACTGCACTGGGGGGCCCTGGCAGAGCCACTGACTTCCGCTCCAGCAGATAGGATTCTGTTTACTGTGCTGGAGAGGAGAGCCAAGGAGGAGCTGGCACCCACCAGGCCTGCAGTGGATCTCTCGCAGCCCTTCTCTGAGGTCGCCTGTGGTGCTGTGAGCCTGGGGTACTCTGCCAACTGCTGGCCCTGGCGGAGCTCTGACAGCACAGGTCCGTCCTGGCCCCATACATGGCTGCCTTTGCCCAACAGCTGACGGCTGCAGCCACAGATGGCAGCGGGGTTCCCAGTGCAGGAATCCTCGGGATGGATGAGGAGTCTTCGCCTCCTGTACACCTGGTGCCCGTGAGCGGGGATGGGGAGGAAGGGGTCATTTAGGTTTACCACTTGGTCTTTATCCCTGACTTTTGAACTGATGAACTCAATTGCAGTAGGCCAGCCCCATCCTGAGGAGCTCAGTGGAGAGCCAGGCTTTAGAAGGGCTTTTTGGCCCCCTGCTGCTGAGCCTGGCTCCCATGGTTAGGCCCCATGTCCTCTGTATGAAGCCATGGGGGGCTGGCATGATTGTTTGGTTTTTACTACAAGCCTGTGATCTTGGAATTTCCCCCAAAGAGCCAGCTCCATGCATGGGTGTGTGTGTGTGCCCCACCAAAGACCCCTTAACTCTCTTCCCAAGCTCCCTCCCCAGCCCACAACCAACCTTAAGGTTTTTTTTGTCACAGAGACGGTTTTCTTGCTGGGTTGAGGTTAGGAAAAGCTTCGCAGAGTACAGCAGGTGGGCACTCTGTTCTGGAAGAAAATAACTCATGTCACTCGCTCCCGCAGAGCATCGCAACATGCCCCAGGCTGATGCCATGGTGCTGGTGGCCAGAAATTATGAGCGCTACAAGAATGAGTGCCGGGAGAAGGAGCGCGAGGAGATTGCCCGCCAGGCAGCCAAGATGGCCGACGAAGCCATCCTGCAGGAGCGGGAGCGCGGAGGCCCAGAGGAGGGCGTCCGTGGGGGGCACCCTCCGGCCATGCAGAGCCTCATCAACCTGCTGGCAGACAACAGGTACCTCACTGCCGAGGAGACAGACAAGATCATCAACTATCTGCGGGAGCGCAAGGAGCGGCTTCTGAGGAGCAACGCCGACGCTCTGCCTGGTGAGCTACGTGGCAGGGCCGAGGTGAAGTTCCCACTCTGCATTTCTCTCGTTCCCAGAACCTGCTGGGAGGGGGGAATGGGGTTGCGGAATGAGCCCAACCCCCTGGGCTCTCTCCTGGGCCGCTGGGCCAGGTGACAGTGGTGTCAGGATGGGGTACTCAGTTGGATCCCTGGAGTTACTGCGATGGTGAACGGACCACCAGTGAGGCCAGTTCCCTGAGAGCCAGGATGAGTGCCCTCTGTTCTGATGCATCTAGGAAGCAGCTCTTTGGGCGAACAAGGCTGTTTGCTGTACATGGCCTCCTCCAGAAGTGGCCCCTTGGGAACTGGCTGTTCCTCTGTGCACCCTGTGATTGCTGTCCTTCCCTTGGCTGCAAGCCCTCCTGCCCCTGGGGGTACTTTGAACCAGGGGCATTGCTCTTTGTCTTCCAGGCCCAGTTTCCCGCCAGCCACTCGGGGCGGCTTCGGGTACCTCGCTGAAGACACAGCAAAGTTCCCAGCCGCTCCAGGGTGGCCAAGTGCTCCCCTCTGCTACGCCCGCGCCAGCTGCACCCTCCACCTCCCAGCAAGAGCTTCAGGCCAAAATCCTTAGCCTCTTCAACAGTGGCACGGTCGCGGCCAACAGCAGCTCAACTGCCCCTTCGGTTGCTGCCGGAAGCACACAGAACCAGAATTTTCCCCCAGCCACGAACAGCCAGCCCCAGCCAAGATCACAGGCCTCTGGCAGTCAGCCCCCAGCCGTTTTGGGACAGGCGGGATCTGCTCGGAACATGGGCCCCAGGCCTGGGGCTCCCTCCCAAGGGCTCTTTGGCCAGCCTTCCAGTCGCCTGGCACCTGCTGGCAACATGGCCAGTCAGAGGCCTGTGTCTTCCACAGGTATCAATTTCGACAATCCAAGTGTACAGAAGGCTCTGGACACCCTGATCCAGAGCGGCCCTGCTCTCTCCCACCTGGTTAGCCAGACCACGGCACAGGTGGGAAGGCCCCAGGCCCCCATGGGATCTTACCAGAGGCATTACTGAGGCCACGTCTGTCAGCTGCCCCCTACCCTGCTCCCTGGCTTCCTCCCAGTTCCTGCGTTGTAATAGTTGTTCTACAGGAGATGTCCTTGGCTCTCTCCAGGCCCACACCCCTCGTCACCTGATCTCTTCTGCCCAAAGTTGAGTTCTGTGTTCCCAACAGTCAGAGTTTATGCTACATCTGGAGGGTGCGTCGTCCTGGTTTTTGTTTTCTTTTTTTGTTTGTTTTTTGTTTTTACATGTGTGTGTATATATATAAATAACTGTCTCTGAGGCCCTGAGGTCAGTACAGGCGTCCCGGCTCAATGTATTTTTGAGGGAGTTTCTCTGGGCCCTCTGGCTGCTGGATTTGAGGGGTGGGGGAAGGTAGGTGCCACCCCGCTCTTCCCCTAGCTGAGCTTGGAGTGGCATTGGTTGGTCATGGTGGTAGCCACCACCTTTGACCTCAGCTGAAGCTCCTGCCTGAGGTTGGGCAACACCTGCCCCTGGCTGGGCCCTGCTTCCCTCCCCCCCACCCCCCCCACAGGCTCTGCCCTGCCGAGGCCTGGCACAGGCAGCTGCAGGAGGAAGCTTTCTGTGGTCCAGTCCGGTGGTTTGTGTTTTTCAGCTTTGCTCCCCCACACAGACCCTCCTGTGAACTCAACAGCTGCAGTTACCACCAGTTTGATGCAAACTGTGAATCTGGGCTCCCCTACACTTCCCCCTAATCGTGTGTCAACACCCCTGGCCTCCTGAGGAGGCTCTGTGCCCCCTTGGTGGCCGCCCTTCTTTGTGGTGGCCGCCCTTCTTTGTAGTGGTCGGTTGTGAGCATTTGCCTCAAACACCCAGGCTCTTGTTTTCTTCTGGACTCTGGTTCTCTTTTCCAAGCGGCGGGAGGCAAGGACCAGGTGGGTGGCAGACTTGGAGCTGCTGGACACATTCTCCATAGAGGTGGTGGCTAGTCTGAACTTTGGAGCTGGAGGGACACTGCAGCAGCGAGGGCTTCCAGCTGCTCCAGGCAGAGCCAGAGGCACGCTCCTGGTGCTCCCCAGGGGTGGTGCACAGGGGAGCCCTATGGGGCAGCCTCAGGGGCAAGGCCTGGCAGGGTGGGGAGCCACTACAACTTGGGCTGAGCAAAAAGTGGGTTCAGAAAACTCAAGCGCCCCCAAATGGCAGCATTTTATGTTCTGACATGTTTGTGTTACATAGTGAATTTTTTTCCTTTGGAACTCTTGTGTTAATAAGATGAAATGATTACTTTTTAATTAAAACAAAAAAAGCCAAGAAGCTGTGTTCCTATTCTCTCTGGTGGGAGCACCTGCGGCCCTCTCACAGGACCCTCTTTGCCAGGGTCAGGAAATGAGATCCCCGCCCTCCTCAGAGCTCTGCTACTGCCGGGCTTGTCCCCAGCCTCCAGCCAGGCCGCCCAAGGCCGTCTCTTTTCCAGCAGCAGCCTACTGGCAGATCATGGTGCTGCATTGAGCGTGCAGCTTCTGGTAGGTGCTGGCTGGCAGCAGGCCACCCTGGGGAGGAAGGCCGCAGTGTGAGGAGGCCCTTTCTGGCTGGTGTTTTCCTTTGCCACCTCTGCACTCCCCATGGTGCCAGGGGGCTGAATCTGAAGGAGTCCACAACAGTAGCACAGGCCTGCAGTGGGCGAGGGACCCAAATGCCCATGATGCTGAGCCTCCGGGCCATCTGCTGAACACCTCCCGGTGCCGGGAAAGGTGGGTTAACACAGTGCTCCTCAGCCCGTCCCTTGGGTCAGGGACCCTGCAATGTGAGGAAGCCTCGGGGGACTTCCTGAGTGTCCCCCAGTGTGCCCAGGCAACACACCTCAGGCTGTGAAGGGTATCATAAAATTATTTTTATTGCATTTTGTGCAGACGGGAATCTAAAAAATACAGTAAAAGCCAGAAAGCATTTAAATGGGAGCATTCAACAATAAAGGAAAGAACCAACCCTCTCCTTTTCATATTGGCACAAAGAACACAAGATCAGTACTGAGGCAGGATGCGGAATACCGGAACACTGAAAGTAAAGGCAGGCTTAGGAATAATGGGAATAGTAGGAATCAATACTCTTGATTTGGTTTGCAACCTCTCCTATTTACAAGGGTTCTCCATGTCATCGCTTTGCCCTGCACATAGATCGTCAAACAAAGCAACACTACCACTACGAGGCTAGTGAAATATTGCACTCAGAATAAAAGTCACTTGGATGGACATGAGACGTCTAGCTACAGTGATTATAAAGATAATTGGATGGATGACTTGGTAACATTCATAACAAATATTGCACGTGTAGCACAGAAAACTTAGGTTTTTGTTGTGGGATGTTCTTGTTTGTTTTTCTGTTGTTGTTTTCATCAACGGAAACTTAGCTCTTGCCAGCCAGACAGTCTGGGCCCAGATAGTGCAACTTGATTTCCTAATCAAGTTATCGCAGCCCCTTCTCCCCTCTACCCAAGCCACTGCTTTGGCCTGGAATGCACAGGGGCCCAGCTACAAGGGTTCTCAGAGGTCGCTGGAAGGATACAGGGATTGGGGTCTGATGCTTCCAAGCTTCCTGCTTGGTGAGTTGGGACAAAGGGTCCAGTCCCCTGATGAAATGTCAGAGGCCTTGACCAAACCAGTAGACCTCCAGGCCTACACACACACACACACACACACACACACACACACCACACACACCCTGTCTAGATGGCAACCAGCTGCAGCTCTCTTGCCTTGGGCTCAAAGGAAGGGAGGTGGTGAGGTCAGGATTACCCAGTGCCCCAGCTCTCGGCTGGGCAGGATGTCTAACTAGGTGTGCAGGTCAGGGCCCTAGGGCTGGAGGTACTGTACCCAGTCCCAGAGGGCCCTGGAACGAGCATGCAGTGCCTGTCCCCCATCATGTGCCCTGGGGGGCGGAGGGTACCCGGCCCACACCCTCTCTGAAGACCAGAGAGCGCCTCTGGCCGAGCTAATGGAGTGGAAGCGCTGAGGACTGCAGTTGGGGATGCCAAAAGCCTTGTGTCCCCTTGAGAGGAAGGCAGAGAGGCGCCTGGTGACCACAGCCCTACCTTCCCCCAGGGGGGCCCGGGCGTCAGAGCTAGAGGCCCAGGGAACACAAAGAAGGTGCCTGGATTCCCCAAGGCAGGGAGCTGGCCCCGGGGAGAAATCATCAGGGGTGGCACAGGGGACCTCCCTAAGCCAGAATCGCCCTCTCCTTGCCCCCGTCCTCCCTCACCTGTCCCAGGGAGGAAAGTGGGAAGGAGGCGCCCTCCGGCCCCACGATTTCAGTCTTTGGCGAGGAGCCGTGGGATGGGGAGCAGGCGACAAACCGACTGGGGAGAGACGCCTGTTCCCCCGCGAAGGCACCAGGCGGGGCTTCCTCGGCGGGGCGCCGGCCCTCTCTCTCGCTCCACCCTGGGGAGCGCCTCTCGCCTGTCCTGGCCCCAACTTGCATAAGAGGAGAAGCGGTGCGGCGGCAGCGTCTCTCGGTCCACTGGGAAGCTAATCCCGGAGACGCTAGCCGCTTGGCTCACTTCATCTCTGAAAGGGACTGCAGGCCGGGGTCGGAGCCGGACTGGGGAAGAAGCTAGGGGTGCGAGGATCAGTGCGGGGGCGGTGTCGAGGGGCCAGGACCACGACCCCCGCATGGGCCGAAAGCACTTTGGCCCTTCAACTCCAATGGACACGGACGTGCAGGGGAGCTCAGCCGCCCGGGGCCTCCACCTCCTCTGGACCCACCCCCTCCCAGCCGGGGGCAGCTCGACAGTGGCGCGAAGAGATGTCCGTTGTGTTTCCAGTCACGGAAATATGGGGACGTTAAAAATACACGCGATGTTTCCTGTACACTATGTATAGGCTCGGCCGGCTCTGGGCCCAAGCCGCCTCGGGCCGCCAGGAGCCAGAGGAGCGCGGAGCGAGGCCCGCAGCGGGGCTGGGAAGGGGTAGGGGCCTCGGGGCTGCCTCGGGGTTTCCAGAGGCTCCCATCGCCTCTGCTCCTCGTGCACCTCCTCCCGACCTGTATTGCAGCGTCTCCTCCAGCGGGGCGAGGCCGGGCTTGGCACCGGGGCGGCAAAGCCGGGGCCTCCCCTGACTCCCAGGGCCAGCGCACCACGCCTCTCCGGGCGTGGCCTCGAGCTTCAGGCGGTGGGGTAGGGGAGCCAGGGTGTGGGCACGGGGATCTGTATGTAAACGGTGACAGCTGCGGGGGGCGCGGGCCGGGCGTGCTTGGCCCGGCGGGAGGGGGCGCAGCTCCCGGCCCTCAGGAGTAGATGGTGATGACTTCACGGCCGCCGCCGCGGACCAGCATCACGCGGTCCAGGTGCTCCGTGAGGACCTCGAGGAATTCCATGTCTGCGCGGAGGTCAAGGACTAAGACCCGGCTCCTTCCCACCGCTGCTCTGGTCGAGGTGCTGATCCAGAGGCAGGCCCCGACTCCAGCCCCGGCTCTCCTGCCCCACCCTTCCTTCTCCTCCCCTGCCTCTTGCGCAGGATACAGTTCTCGTCCCCGTTGCGGTTGCGCGGAGGTCCAGGCATGTTGAGCAGAACCAGCTTGGCATCCCGAGACTTCTTCACGATCACTTCATTCAGCCGCACGGCCGTGTGCATGCGCCGCACGTTGGACTGGTTCCTGCCAGGTTGGGGAACAGGTGAGTCACCGGGAGAGGAAGCGTGGGACCGGCTGCACCCCGCTCCCCTGCAATGGCTGGGCTGCTGGGGCCGCGGGGAAGGGTTGGCTCCACCAACCCGAGAGCTCCAAGCTGGGCTGTTTAGAGACTGCGGAGAGGGATTCCCGGTGGTGTGAGCAGGGCAGGGACCCTGGCCAACCACAGAGAGCAAGAGAAAAAAAAATCTGGAAGCACTTACAGATTCTCCCACTCCCTTCAGGTGACAAGAGAGAAGCAAAGAGAAAGAAGAGAGGGAGAGGTCAGAAAAAGATGAAGAGGCTGGGTGGTGAGACCTGCATGTGCACTTGCTGTCCTAGCCCCTTCTCCCTTCACCTTCCCACTGCCTGCACCTGGGGGGGTGGGGGGGCTGACCCTTTGCTCCCAGGCCTGGCTCCCCATGGGGAAGCCAAAGCAATGTCTGGGATGAACTTCCAGCCTATCCCCCCTTCCCCAGGACTCGTTGTGCCATTTGCCAGGGTGAACAAGACCCAGTTGCCAGCCTTCATCCAGCCCCAAGGCTCGTACGGCTTCATGCTGAAGAAGTCCTTGATGCCCTCAGAGGAGACGGGACTGGGGCCCTTGTTCTTCTCTGCCACCGACTTGTCCTTGGTCCAGGTGAGATGCACCTTCTCAGGGTCTGCCTCCCCTTCCCCCTCGGGCTCCTCTCCTGGGGACGGAGAGCTGCTGGGGCAGCTGGGAGCACTCTGGTCATGGATCAGCTGCACCTGCAGGATGAATGAAGGGGCAGCAGGTAACTGCTTGGGTATGAAGGTCCCATACCCATGGGCTGGGGCCACCCCAGCCCTGGGGCTCACCTCTTCCTCTGGCTTCTCCTCACTGTCCCCTGCTGTCTCTTCTGGGACGTTGAGGCGGAGCCGGGTGTTGGCTGGATTTTTTCTCCGGATGGAACCTCGAGACTCGTCTGTGATGCTCTGGATCTAGGGGTGGGACACAGGTGGGCATCAGCTCTGGTTGGGGTCACCGACCAGCTCCTGCAAAGAATCCTCCCTGCTCCACCTGGGACTGCAAGCCAACTGTCTAGAAGCACACCTACTTCTACAGCAAGGCAAGGCTTCCAGACCTAATAGCTGTAGGTCAGCAGGGATGAGAGCCCTGGACCTCCCCATCATCCAGGAGCCAACAAGTTCATTCCCAGCACAGCGGGGCTCTAGGCTAGCACCAGGCTCCTGTGTCAGTTTCTTCCAACCAATGCACATGTCACTTCTGACTGTTTTGGCTATCACCCTTGTGTACTGTTCCCCCAAGGAGATCCATCCTTCCCAGTTCTATGGGGCATCCATCACTCATGTCCCCAAGAAACGTGTTATCCCCTGGGAAACCCATAACCTGGAATCTATCACCCTCACCCATTCACCAATACGACCTGCCACCTCACCCAGTCCTCAAAACAGCCCATCGCCCACTTAGAGCCCCAGGCGTCATCACTCATCCTACCAAGGACTCCAGTCCCTGGAGCGGGTTTTTTCACCATCCTTCAGGGGCAGTGGTCCCACGTGACCTACACTTGGGAGGTCTTGCCCTGACCCCCCATGTAGAACTCAACACCAGCACCCCTGAGAACCCGTCACCCACATCCAAGGAGCTCTGCCCTACCTGCCGCCTGTCAGCCATGTCCCTGAACACCCACTCACCTGGCCCACTCCCTGAGAACCCAGTCTCCTGCCAGGGCAGCTTTGCCCTTGAGGACTCTGCATCCACACACACTTAACAC